ATGTGGGACGCGGCCTCAGCATGGCCGGAGAAGCAGCGCGTCGGTGCGAGCCCTGGATCCGAACCCGGGTCGCCAGCAGTGGAGCGCGCTCACTTAACCACCAAGCCACGGGGCCGGCCCGATAGGTTTTTTCTAAGATGAAAATCTATCAAATTAAAATCTAGTATTAAATAATAGGTAATTTCTAAGGTAAAAATGGTGGTGGTGTTGATAGTAGTAATTTTAAAATGAGCATTTCACAGAAGGGAAACTGAAGCTTAGAGAGGATCAGTAACTTACCAAAAATCACTCAGGTAAGTAAGCAGTAAACTCTGATGTGCTGACTCCAGAGGCTACGCTTTTAACTGCTAAGATAACGCCTAAACCACCTGGAGTTTCATATGTTCAATCAAAACAAAAGATAATGGGCTCTGTCTTCTCCGTCTGACTCGACCACTTACTAGCTATGTAAATCACTTCACTTTAATGAAAGCATTTTATAAATACAAACATTAAAAAATTAAGTGTTTGTACTTCTAAAATAAGGAGATTGGACTATATTGTCTAAAGTTCTTTTCTGCTTAGACATTCTATTGTTCTATTCCATTAATTATTTGATATGATCTACTCATTATACTGAGAAATGTAAGAGCAGTCAAAATGGGAAGCACTAGGATTTTGTGCCATTGATATGTTACTGTTTCATTATTAAGAAAAAATGACTCTCATGTCTAAATATCTCTTGTTATTCTGTTATCTTCTGCCCTACTCCCCCCACACCTTAAGTTGAGGCAGAGCTTTCAAGTTCAAATTACAGTTCTGACACTGGATATCCTTAATGGCCTTCATCAACTCTCTCTACTAATTTTTCTTGATATGTATAGAGAATAATATTCCTTCTCCTCAGAAACTATTTCCCAAGTGCTCTGAGGAAAGGAGAGGACATTGTGATACTACATAATACAGCATCAAACTACCTTCATATTTTGAATTTTTTATTGTTGAATGAAGAAAATTATTCTGAAGCTGTTGGAGTAAAACTGCTAAGCTAAAGAGATCATTATCAGCTTTCTTTACCTCAAATTCACACAGATAAATGAAGAACAAATAGAAAGGTAAGTACTCTATATTTTAAAAACCTTAATAATATAAAAGAAATGTAAAATAATTGAATTCTATTTCTGCTTGATAACGGCTAAATTTAATTAGGACCCAAGTCCTTTAAATAATATATTTTCATATAAAACAATTATAACGAGTACTCAAGAATACACTGAAATCTATTTATTCAAAAGAATAGAGGGCCGGCCCCGTGGCTTGGCGGTTAAGTGCGAGCGCTCCGCTGCTGGCGGCCCGGGTTCGGATCCCGGGCGCGCACCCACGCACCGCTTCTCGTCAACTCTGATGTCCTCTCAGGGTTATTAAAATCTCTGGTTTCCAAGACTGGCAAATCCTCCTCCATCTCCTGTACCCTCCATCCTGAGAATCTTCAGCATTATGTCATTTATGTATACCCCTCTGGTGTTTGGTTCCCTCTTCATTTCTAGCTCTTGGAACTTCTCTTACTTTCTCGTAAACTCAACAATGGATTTAAAAGGATTTTACATTTTAACTAGCATTTTTAGATGTTTTGCAGCAGGAGTGTTTTCAAGTTATCTAGTTTGACATACTGCTTATATAGTATGGTCATTTGATCCTTTCAACAATATAAGACAGACAACTTATCACTTTATAGATGAGGAAACTGAAGATCAGAAAGGTTAAAGATTTACTATTAATCAAGTTCATAGTTGTAAATTAAATAATTATTCATGCAAATATTTAACTATTCATCTTTTTCTCTAGATTTTAAACTCCATAAAAGGACCAATCCATGCCTATTTTCACTACTGAATCCTCAATGACTCGCACAGTGCCTAACTCATAGTAGGTAGTCAATAAATATTTGTTAAAAAAATACCAATTCATTCATTAATGGCTAATAAGTGGTAGAGCCAGGATTAGAATCCAGGTCCTCTGAATCAGAGTTCACTACACTCAGTGCCTAAAGTAAATAATATGAGTTAACAGGAAATCTCAGGGAAAGGACCTAGCCTAAAGGACAATTCCCTCACCCCCATGGTTACTCAAATGTCATTTATCCATTCACCCAGTTATTCAATAAATATTTACTGAGTTCCTGTTAGAGGCACTATGCTAAGCACCGGAGGTATAATAGTAAGCAAAATAAACAGGCCCCTGACCCCATGGAGGTGACAGACACCAAATAATCACATATATAAATTTAAACCACAACTACAATTTGTGCTGTGTGGAATGGATGATGGTGATGGCAATGATTGATTCGGCACAGCCCACGAGGTCATTTCCCAGCTCCAGTGTTTTACAGATATGGACTCCCAAGCACAACAGTTAAGGGATACGTAAGGGTCATAAGGATAGTCGGGGAGCTACAACTACTCTAGCATTAATTCCAGTGCCCTTTTGAATACAGAAACTAGGGTGGTTGAAAGCATGAGCTTTGAAATCAGGTGAAGATGAGTTGGATGCTCCATTTCATCTTTCACTTACTGAATCTCCTTAAGTTGATTCTTCATCTATAAAATGGTAATAACAACTACTCACAGAGCTGTTGTGAAGATAAAATGAACTACTAATGTATGTGAAGTTTATCACTGTCTGGCACATAGTAAATATTCAATAAATGGTGGATATTTTTTTTCCCCATCTTAGATCTTATTCATTAGATAGGAGTTGGATAACTTCTGTTAAGATCTTCTCCCTGGTTTTCTGTCACCAGCACAGGCTCCTTGGGATGCCCAAATTACTTCTTTTCTTATCTACTTAATTACTACTTTTATCAATATACTTATGTCCAGAACTCGCCTATAAACTCCAGATCTGTACACTCAAACCACCCACACAACATCTACAACAGGATGTCTGAAAGCATCTCAATCTTAACATGATACCTGATGATGATGTTCCTGATAACCTCTCCTCTCTCCCCCAAATACCCTGCTACTGTAATGGCTTTCTCGATCTCAGTTAATGGCAACTCTTTTTTTTTTTTTTTTTTTTTTTTTTTTTTTTTTAAGTTTTTTTTTTTTTTTTTCCCCCCAAAGCCCCAGTACATAGTTGTCTGTCACAGCTGCACATCCTTCTAGTTGCTGTATGTGGGACTCGGCCTCTGGCTGGACAGAGAAGTGGTGCCTTGATGCACACCCGGGATCCGAACCCGGGCCGCCAGCATCACAGCGCACGCACTTAACCACCAAGCCACAGGGCCGGCCCAGCAACTCTATTTTTACAGCAATATATGACAAAAGCCTGAAATCACCCTCGACTCTTCTTCTCTCTCTCTCTCACTTTTCAGCAAATCCCGTTTGCTCTATCTTTAAAATATATCCAGAACAGGACAACTTCTCTCTACTTCCATTGCTATCATCGTGGTCTGGGATGGTTTATTTTATGTGTCAACTTGGCTGGGCTATGGTACTTGGATATTTGATCAAACATTATTCAGGACGTTTCTGTGAAGGTGTCTTTTGGATGAGATTAATATTTAAATCAGTGGACTCTAAGTAAAGCAGATTACCCTCCATAATGTGGGTGGGCCACATCCAAGCAGTTGGAGGCTCTCACAGAAAAAAGACTGGTCTCTCCCAAGAAAGAAGAAATTCTGCTAGCAGAACACCTTTGGACTCAAACTGCAACTCTCCCCTGAGTCTCTGGCCTGCTAGATTACTCCACTAGATCTTGAACTTGCCAAGCCTCCACAACTGTGTGAGCTAATTCCTTAAAATAAATCTTTATACAGTCACACGCACTGTATAAAGACGTTTCAGTCTTTCAGTGACAGACTGCATATACCACGGTGGTCCCATAAGATTAGTACCATATAGCTTAGGTGTATAGTAGGCTATACCATCCAGGTTTGTGTAAGTACCTCTATTATGTTCACACAACAAACCATCTAATGACGCATTTCTCAGAACTTATCTCTGTTGTTAAGCAAAGCATGGCTGTGTATACACATCATGTTGGTCTTGTTTCTCTGGAGAACTCTGATTAATACATGGTCCAAACCACCAGTTATGATCTCCTAGATGACTGTAATAATGTCCTAGTTGGTTTTCTGTTCTCTCTTGTCCTACGACTGCCTATTCTCAACAAGCGCCCAGAGTGATCCTGTTAAATCCAATTCAGAGCTTGTCAACCTCTGGGCAGAACCCTTCAATGGCTTCCCTATCTCACTCAAGTAAAAACCCAAACTCCTCACAGTGACCTACAAGGTCCCACGTGACTTTCCCACGGCTCTCCTTTCTTACTGTAATCTTCTATTATCCTTTTCCCTTATTCACTCCTCACTATTACTTGAACACACCAGGCATGCCACCACCTCAGAGCCTTTGTACTTGCTATTCCCCCTGCCTGGAATATGTTTTTCCCACACAGCCATATAATTAGTCTTCTTACTTTCTTTAGTTCTTTCCTCAAAAATCATCTCAGTGAGATCTTCCCTGCTACGCTATCTAAAATTTCTACCTCCTCACTCTTCTTTCTCTTCTCTGGGTTTTTTTCTCCCCTTAATATTACTCATTCTCACAGACTATATGTTTTACTTATTTATCTTGTTTCTTGGCTGGTATTACCTTCGCCAGAAAAGTAAGCTCAATGAAGGCAGGGAATTTTAACTGCTTTGTTCACTGCTTTAAGACAGTTTTCAGATTTGAAAACAAGGCCTGGCACACAGTAAGTATTCGATATACATTTAAGTGAAAGAAAAACCTCAAAGGCCTTCACTTGTACTTCACTACATTTCGATTCTCTATCACAGGGCTCCTGACTACTTCCTCCTTTTCTGATCCCACGTCTGCTGCCTTGGTGTTCCTTCAGGCTCACTGACTCATCACTTTTAACTTGTAGCATGAAGGGCTGGCTAGGCTGATACCTGAAACCTCAGCTCAGTCAAGCTGGCCAAGTTTTTCTCATTCACCTTCTCAAGGACAGGTTGAATCCTTATCTTCCGGAACAAAAACCTCCTAAACCCAAAGATAGCAAGTGAAGAATGATACCAACTTATGTTCAGAAACAATTTTCTATTCTTCTGAGTATCAAACTTACTTCCTGTATACACTGTAAATACACTAAATACTTTAAGTCTTATATATGTTTTTGGTACTATATATGAAGAGGTTACTTACTGTTCTTTTTCCGTATCAAGTATGTGTTTTTTAATAAACTGTGAAAAGGAACAGCCTATCTGATTAATATGGTTGGTGGAATAAACAGTCCAATATCAAGCACTACTTGAATAGGATTATAGTGGAAATGAAGCAATAATGTATGTGTTATACTTAAAATACAGCTCCTTAGGTTTAAAAAAAGTGGCTAAAAACCAGTATAGAATATATTATCAGATTTTAGCAAGTGAAGGTAAAGAAGAAAAAGAAAGACTGAAACAGAGAAAAACTGAGGGGTAGACATTACATGTGCGTATTTTAAAAGTCTGTTTTTTAATCAAGCAAATTTTTGATTACTAAAGTTAGAATTAGTTTGAATTGTATTAATACAGTTAATAATTACTACGTTCATTTATGTTGCTATGATTTATTCATTTATTTATTCACAAAACATTGATTATCAGCTATGAACCAGACACAAGCTATAAAAATAATTAAAACATGGGCCTTCCTCGAGTCTAGGGAGTGTGATAAGCAGATATATAAACAAAAAATTTAATGAAAAATGTGATGATAAAGTATGAATAAAGTTCAGAGAAAATATAATATCTACTTACATTAAAAAGTTGTTTTTTAGCATATTTTCTAATCTGTCCTTGGTAAGAAAAGAGAAAAAAGAAAATTAATTAAATGTAATTATATTCATTATATGTAATTAACATATTTAAAGAGTAGATATATTGGGCTTTATCCACAAAACTAATTACCTTTTGGCCAGGAGCTATGAATCTGTGACAGAGTTCAACATCTTTAGGACAATTTGAGAGAACCATCATTGTTGCCGTCTTGAAGAGCCTCTCCATAACCTGAGAGAGATGACACAGAATTGCCTGACAAGTAAGCTACTTTATATGAAAAACCTGGTTAGGGCCCTATAAGGACTGCTCTCAGGTTTTAGTAACTATAAATCCATTATGCCTCTTAATCCCTGAATATACTAGAGCAAGTTAGTTCAGTTTTCCAGATTGATCAGAGGAGGCATCACAACTTCTTCTCAGAGGTGGTAAAAAAAAAAAAAAAGAAAGAAAAATATTTGAATCTTTTGTTAACAGTTTCAATACTGGTATTAATTTTATTTATTTATTTATTTATTCCCCCAAAGCCCCAGCAGATAGTTGTATGTCGTGGTTGCACATCCTTCTAGTTGCTGTATGTGGGACTCGGCCTCAGCATGGCGGGAGAAGCGGTGCGTTGGTGCGCGCCCGGGATCTGAACCCGGGCCGCCAGCAGCGGAGCGTGCGCACTTAACCACTAAGCCACAGGGCCGGCCCTCAATACTGGTATTGAAGTGGGATGTCAAATGAACAGCTGAAACTGACTGATGCCTCTCTAAATTTCAATATACCTCACTTGTAGAGTCAGGATAATAACAGTACCTAGCTTACAGGATTGTTGTGAAAATCCAAAGAGATAATCTATGTATAAGACTTAGCTCAGTACCTGGTCAGAGAAGCACACAACAAACATCAGTTGTTGTGAAGAGTGAGACACTTTGAAAAGCGCTTCATTTGCTCATTGGCAAATGAAAGTAAGCTTTAAAATTAGAGAAGCAATGAGATACAGCCACATCTAAATATATACACTTTTGCTTTGCTAAAGCATAAAGTAAAAATAACACAAATCATTATACAACACACATCAGTATGTAAGAATTCATTCTGCCTGGGGTGTCCATAGAAGTCTCATGGGAAAAACTTGTTTTTAGAAGAAAAAAGTGATTGGAATGGAAAATATTTCTAAAACATTTTTAATTGGAACTAGAATTTTTGCTCTGCAGTCAGTGAGATCATAGTAGGACCTCCAAATGTACTCGTAAAGATAGATACATTTATAGAGTACAGGCTGCCTCAGAGGCAGGTACCTTCCTTTCCTCTCCTGCATCACGGGGATATCCTATCAAGGCTGGAAACACAGCAGGGACATAAGCATCTACTGAAGTAATTTAACAATGATCAGATATAGGAAAGTACTTAATTACGGAGTGACTACCAGATACATTTATTTTTTTATATATACAAAATATTTTTCTATTTTATATATATTTTACATTTTTATATTTACATATATTTTGTATAGGAATAAGGAATAAGTTCATGGAAGAAGAGCAAAAGGAGGCTAAAGATCTTTTGCCTTGAGGCTATATCACCTTCAATCTAGCAGTGAGATAAAGCAATCACTAAGTAACTGAATGATTTATGAAGGGTCATATCCCTCAGTCACTAAAAAAAGCCGATGTGTATTGGAAGGAAAAAAGAACAAGCTGACTTGTACTGGGAGGAAAAAAGAACAGGCCGATTGGGCAGTATGCCTGCACTGCCGAGGGACGCCATACGCCTATCTGTAAGATGAAGACTTTGACCACTGGGGTTGTTAAATCGGTATCTTTCATGAGCAGTAAATTTCCAGTGAAGAAGAAAATCACTGGCTTCTCTAACCTTCACTTTCAGACTATGCTCTATAAATATATTTGAGGAAAACAGAAACTTAACTGAGAGTTAGCATAACCCTCAGATGTTTTTAAAAATATATTATTCAATGGCATTAAAATAGTAATATTCAACTGCTTATACCTGCTTCATGAGTGGAAAAAATCCTTTGTTATAATATTATGATTCAATCTTTAAGGGACTGCTCTTCATCAAGATAATAATTTCCACAGAATGTAATTTATAAAAGGGAAAAAATTAAGAGAAGCAGAAGATTACTTTGGGGGGCGCATACTTTTTTCTTCTTTTTTTTAAATTTTATTTATTTATTTTTTCCCCCAAAGCCCCAGTAGATAGTTGTATGTCACAGCTGCACATCCTTCTAGTTGCTGTATGTGGGACTCGGCGTCAGCATGGCCGGAGAAGTGGTGTGTTGGTGTGCGCCTGGGATCCGAACCTGGGCCGCCAGCAGCGGAGCGCGCGCACTTAACCGCTAAGCCACAGGGCCGGCCCTTTTTTCTTCTGTTTTTAGGAAAAAAATTTATATTTAAATTAATTAAATCATTCAACAGAGTATGCCTTGAGTGCCACTCAGTGGAGTACCAAATAAAAATTATTTAATTACAGAATATGTAATTATAGAGCAAAGATTATAAGGTTTAATAAATTCTAACACAATTTATGTATTGTCTTTGTAATTTTTCCCTCTGGTATCTATGTTGGCGCAGTAGAGTCAGGGTCAAGGCAGAAACAGGGAGGTAAAACGTGTGGTTCAATTCCTTACAATACTCTCATTGCCTGAGTAAAATAATAATACAGAATTGGGTAGTGGGCTCAAACTGAAAGCTGCTTAAGAAATTTTACTAACACCTTGTGAGACTCACATCTTGAATCCCTATAATCTAGAAAAGGGTTACTTAACAGTGTTACTAGTGACATTTTTGGCCAAATAATTCTTTGTGGAGGGGGAGGGGACTGTGCATTGTAGGATGTTGAGCAGCATCCCTAAGCCTTTACCCACTAGATGCCAGTAGGAACCACTCTCCCCTACTCCCCCGATCCTACTACTGCCCCTAGTAGGGGCAACCAAAAATGTCCCCTGGTGGACACTGATCTAGAACAATCAATGGGAGATGTTAAAGGAGCATCTAAGTGGACACTGTGGTGGGTGGCCAGAACACTCCTTCAGGACCAAGAGCTTTACCTGCTGGGAATATTAACTGCTGATGGTTCACAGTTGAGTCCCTCCTCGGGAACTGTCCAGGCCAAGACTGCTGTCTTACCCAAGGTTAGCCTCTTCCCAAGTCAAGCCCCTCTCCAATGACTGGCTGAAGGGGGGAGACACAAAGGCCCACCCCCTTGCCTTCATGTGGGACAACTATGAAGGACCATTCCAGCTCCAAAGTTGCTCACAGAATTTGCTAAGGCCCATGTTTGCAAGTGCATCACAGTTCAATTTTTCCCTCTGCCCAATGCTGCTTGCCTCCTTTCCTCACAGGTGGTGTTCTCCAAAGCATTCCCGAATAATCCCCCACCTGCAAATCTCTGCAGAATTTGTTTACCAGGAAATCCAACCTAAGATAAGATCATAAAATAGTGAGTCCATTCTACTTGGTGGTATATGTATTTTTTAACTGGAATTGGGTCATTTACTGGGTGAATCAGAGTAGAAAGATATATAAATGAATAAAAGTGAGCGTTGATGAAAACTGCTAAAATAAACATGCTGTAATTACAAATCCAAACTAAGAAATTAACCAAAATGGTATTGGATAGAGAATTCATAATAACAACAGTTAACAATTTCTGGGTACTTACTAGGTGCCATGAACTATGCTAAGTGCCTTATATATATATTATCTGTCTAATCCACTGAACTTCTCTATGATGTAGGAATTATTATTCCCATTTTATAGATGAGGAAACTGAGGCTCACAGAAATTAAGTCCCTCGTCTAAGGTCACATAGCAAGTAAGTGGTGGAGCTAAGAATCAAATCCTGGTCCATCCAACTCAGGAGCTTGTGTGCTCTATCTGGATTATGGCCACCACCTCCTAAAAGGGCTCCCATCCCTATTTTTATCTCCCTCTAAATCATTCTTCATATTGCTGCTAGAGAGATGTTTCTAACATATAACTCTGACCATGGCCTTTCCCAACTAAGAACTCTCTCTCCTTTACCTTTCAGATTAAGTTCAGGGCTGGCCCTGTGGTTTAGCGGTTAAGTGTGCGCACTCTGCTGCTGGCGGCCCGGGTTCGGATCCCAGGTGCGCACCAGCACATGGTTTCTCCGGCCATGCTGAGGCCGCATCCTACATACAGCAACTAGAAGGATGTTCAGCTATGACATACAACTATCTACTGGGGCTTTGGGGGAAAAAAAAAATTAGATTAAGTTCAAACTCCTTAGGATGGCATTTAAATATGAGGTCTGTCTTTCATGATCTGACTCTTGACTCTCTCTCCAGCCTTATCCCTTGCTCCACAAACAGAGCTCTGACAGCTCCTGTGGATGCTTTGTAATATAGCTGTATAGATGTTTCTCTAACTATAAAGATGTTTTATTTGCCTAGCAAATAGCAGGAGCTACTACTTACTGAGCCTGCTATGTGCCAGAACCCTTTTTAGGAGCTTTACATTATATATATTATTTCATGTACTCCTCACAATAACCTTATGGAATAGGTACTATTATTCTCATTTTACAGTTGAGAAAGCTAAGGACCACTAAGGTTAAGAAACATCATAAAGTTAACGGCAGAGCTCGGATATGAACTTAAATCTGTCTGACTCTTGTACTTTAAACTATTATTACACTAAAGGAATTCAGTAGATGCTTATTAAATTAAGTAGTTCTCCATCTTCTTCACTCTATGAACACCTGTAATGCACAGATGTCCGAGGTAAAAATGTATACAGAAGCATTTTAATGTCACAGATGCCTAATATTTAGAAACTCATGTGGTGCATAACCATGTTTGCTCAATGACAGACACATATCTGACGGTGGTCCCATAAGATCAGTACCATATAGCCTAGGTGTGTAGTAGGCTATACCACCTAGGTGTGTGTAAATGCACTCTATGATGTTCACACAACAAAATCACCTAACAACACATTTCTCAGAACATATCCCCATCGTTAAGCGACACGTGACTGTATTTTAAAACTTGCATACCTACCTGCATGAGATCTTGAAGGCTATCAACAAAAGAAATCTCGGCTTCTACCATGTAAAACTCTGCCAGGTGTCTCCGGCTCTGAGAATTCTCCGCTCGGAATGTTGGACCAAAGGTAAACACTTGAGTAAAAGCTCTGCAATTCAACATTCAGAGTATAAAAATAGGATTCACATGATTAATTAATAGTATTTAAAATACTCAGTGAGCTCTTAAGAAAAAAGTTTTATGTCTGTCTTGTCCACAAATCCACTCATATTAGCTGTTATATTTCTCTAATGGATGATAATAATAGTTTCATTAAAAATGTTACATTTATAGAAACCACTTTATCCCAAAGGAATTTGCAAATGCTTTACAAACCCTATGGCTTACTAAATATAGAATAACAACCACTTCTGGGTGCACTCTACTGCAGCTGCCTTAAACAGCGGGCAACTACATTTCACAGCAATTGAGAACAAAGTAAAGGAAAAATACCACAGCCCAAGAAGCCACACAGAGAATCTAGATAGTAATAGTTAAACTAGAATTTTATGTGCATAAGGTGTGCTAATTATTTTTTAAACGTGAGAAAAGAATATCTGGTGTGTAGTGATTTGTCTTGTTCAAAGCCTGCCCGAGTCCTCCATAACCACCTGAAATCTGGGGGTGAGGATGGATTTTGAAGAACTGTCTACTCTTTTTATGGTTTTCATGAAGGACTATAGCTCAACAATCCAGACGGAAATAAAGAAATTCTTACAATTAAATTCCTACAGAGAAGTAGACACTACACCTTCATTCTTTAACACTTCTAGTCAGTCTCCCCCATATGGAAACAGGGCAACAACTGAGATTAGATCAGGCAAATATGGAGTAATGAATATTTCCTGAGGGCTATCTAATCTTTGAATTTTAAGTTTTGGTAGAACAAAACAAGAGGTTCAGTGCTCCTTAGCTATTACAGTGAGCACTCTTCATTTGTCTGTCAGCAGTCAAATAACAGTAAAATGAGAAACCATAGTGCAGAAAATAGATGGATTGTGGATATACATACCAGTACCATTTTTTGTTGGGTTGTTTTTTTAAGTAAAGATACTCTGGGAGATGAAACAGTAAAACAGTTATAGTGGAAATCAAGAGATTTACTTTTTCTTTCAAAAGGCCATTTTAGATAAGGCCTAGCTGGTAAGAAGCTTAGAAATTTACGTTTTGGTTCTACAGCCACCTTCCTGAGACCAGGGTCAGTTAACCTCTGAGAACCTTAGTTTTTAATGGAAAAATAAACAGTAAGAACTCAAAAATATTACTATGGTAACCTCTCTCCCAAGATTCAGATCCAGACTTGCCTCCTAGAATGTTCCTGAAAACACTGAACCTGCCTTGGCAAAATGAAAACTCTTGCCCTACTCACAAAAACAAACAAAAAACAAAACAATGAACAATTCTGTTTTTCTTTTTACATTTCTCCAGCTCTGTTAATCTCGGTTAATCCAGCTAGTCACCCAAACCAGGTCCCTCACCCCTCCTGCACTGCCCAATTTCCTGTATCATATTGATCACAAAATTATATTGTTTACACCTAGGAAAACTCTTTCAAATCTAGAGACTTCTTTATCTCCAGATACTGTCTTAGTGTAAACTCTTGTGTCTTGCTTGGAACACTACAACAGTTTTGTTTGTTTTTTTTTTTTTTGCTGAGGAAGATTTGCCCTGAGCTAACATCTGTGCCAATCTTCCTCTACTTGGTACACGGGTCACTGCCACAGCATGGCTGACAAGTGGTGCAGGCCTGCCCCTGGGGTCCGAACCCTGGAACCCGGGCTACTGAAGTGGAGAGTGCCGAACTCAACCACTAGGCCACGGGGCCGGCCCCTACAACAGCTTTTTAATTGGTGTCTGTTACCAGTCTTTCTTCCTCCAGCCCCAAACTACTATGAGTTTTCAAACTCAAACCTGATTTCATCAGCCCTAATTTAACAATCTTTATGATTCCCCACTGCTCAAAGGATAAAATTCCAACCTTTGACCTGACTTTTCCTTCACAAAGCCTTTTCCTAGCCGCATTGAAGACTTCTCCTTACACAGCATGCCCCTGCACACCTTTAAGCCTTTGCTTAGGCTGTTTCCTACTCTAGGAGCCCACCTCCTGCTCCTCTCTCTCCAAATGGCAAATTCCCATCTATCTTTCAAGACTTGGCTCAAATGTCACTTTCTCTTTGTAACCTGACATGAGGATAACACTTTGTTCATCTATTTATTATATAGAATGTATCACTTTGAAATGTAATTATGTATTTTAGTATCTTTCTCCCCTAGTAAACTATGAAATCTTCCAGAGCAGGAATCATGTTTTATTCATATTTGCATCTCCAGTGCCTAACATAAAACAGCTGCTCATGTTGAATGAATGAGTACTAACGATGACAGGCTTCCTCAGTTGTAAACTGGAAAAGCACAAAACATCCTCACAAATAGTAACATTACAAATAATGTACAGAAAAATGCTCAGATATATTTTACTGTGGCTGTTACTCAGTACCTAAAATGGGTCAAACAATCTAGATCTGTCCCAAACAATAAATTAAAAAATTATAAGGCCTTGAGTTTCCAATCTGTGACTACACAGTCTCTAGGTAGTGTATATAAATAAATAAAATGACATTTCTTTTTGGTATTGCATCACAAGAAATTGTATATACAGATATTCACTAACAATAAAGGATATTTTATTGAGATTTTCCAGGGCATAAATAAAAACTAGGTGGCATAAGTGAAATTTACTTTGGGGGCTTTGAGGGAGACTTCCAAGAAATGGGCAGTTATCTTCCTGAACTACAAGGAAGGCCAATGGGATTGCTGTTCAGAAGAGACATGTTATTTGTATGAAGGTACTAGGTACAGAGAAGACAGTGGTTTCTAAAATGAACTACAAATTCAAGTCACAAGGGCATCTGCTTCTCACATGGCAATTCTATGTAGGGTACTCCAAGATGAGTAGCGATAGGAATTTTTTACTTAACAGTGGTTAGTGATTTTCCCTAGCAATGGAAGGTAAGCTGTTTAGTATAAAATATAGAAGAGGATCATGGATTTTTATTTTAATTAAAGTAAGGACCAGGCTCCGAATGAAGAACCTAAGAGTTAAGTATTATTCTAATAGAGTAAGTAAAAACTAATAACCTTTGCTTAACAATTAACTTTTGATTAATTGCTTCCTTTGATTTAACAGAAAGATAAAATGAGCTGCTTCCAGCTCATTTTATATGTTGAAAAATTGCCTAATTCAGTTTCTAGTCTTTAAGCAGATGAATGTTTCAATCATTCAATAATGAGTGTCCTATTATAAAAGTAGCGGTGGTGGCAGTATGGTAGTGACAGTGGGTACCATTAGCAAGTGCCCCTTGTGGGCCAGGCAATAGATGTAAAAACCTTAGAGTTAACGCCTTTATCGTTAACTCAATCAAGTGTGTATTATTAACTCAATCAAGTGTGTATTGTTACTTCTATTTTTCGGGCTAAGAAATTGAAGTTCAGAGAGGTTAATAAGCTTTCCCCAAAGTTATACAGTCATAGTCTAAGAAGTGGTGGAGGCCAGATTCAAATCCAGGTCTGATTCCTAATGGTCACAGCCTTAATCACGAGATTAAAATAATCATGCTCATAACTAAACACTGATAAACTCAGAAAATTAGAAAGAAAAATTTGTAATACATCCCTCCCTTCTCAAAGATAACTAGGGTAAGTAGTTTGGTATATTTCCCTTCCTTATGAATAGCTTATTTGCTTTACATGTTAAAATTATAGCTTTCTAGGATATGTTGCCTTCATGTAAATAATGAAAATGATAAATTTTCATCAATATTTTGTAACCTTTAGCAAATCATCTAGTTTTTCTGGACTTCAAATTCTTACATGAGTGGGAGATGGGAGCAGCTTGTTATTAATCTCTAGTATCTTTTGCAATAATTTTGTTTCTAGGTCCATGTGAAATTGCTCTTATTTTAATTTATGCTGATTTTTTCTTTTTCTCTGTCTTCAAATGAAAGCCACTTGCAGCAAGGCTTGGACCAACCAACGTTTAAAATAAGGTCTGAGAACAAGGCCATTTCTAAAATAAGATACAAAACCAGGTGAAAGGCCAGTACTGCTTGAGAAGAGACCAGCAGAAAAAGAAAACATTCAGCACTAGAAAGCATTCTCGTGCCAAATTATGGAGAGAGGAAAGCTATATAAGGAAAGTCCATGAGCTTGGAGTTGATGTTTAAGATAACAAAAGTACACTCAATACACATCAACTAAGATAGCTACAAAAATGGCTTTTTAAAAATAAAAAGTAAAGTTACCAAAAAAAAGGTTCGACAAAGGTCGTTTTCTTCCTTGTGTGGAGTTTTACGAAGCCCTAAATTGGCAAACGGATTACTCTAAAATGGTTACTGATTGCTTGCTCTTTCTTGCTCTGAAATTTAAGAGCTAAGCTTTATATTTTGTAAGAATAGAGGAATTACTGTTCTTTAGCTGGGAAAGAACTTATCATTCAGCATAAGTTGGATCAGCAACTTTCCCTAAGGCCCCCCCACTCCCAACCTCCTATCACTTCTTTATTGCCAGTTCAGTAAACGCTTATTAACATGAAATGAAGCGAACTCACAGACAGCTTTAAACTGGCTTTTAAAATAGTCTTTGTCAAGTGGTATTCCTACCATTCAAAAAATCATCATCTATTTTACTACTGCTTTGTTTCCACTGGACTATCAATATTGTGACGTATTTGTCATTCATTATTTCTACATGCCCAACAGAGTGGACTCCAGTCATCTCCTTTTCAGCTTTCCCTTATTCCTCTGACAATCCTGCAATATACTTCGTGGAACGGTATAAAAGAGATGTAGCTCTCACCATTTCATCAATTCATGTCAAGATGCCTTAGGGAGGATGCACTCTAAAATCTAAAAATTCTTTAACTAATTCTTTGCTAAACATTTCTGCAAAATTAAATTTTCTTTAACATGTCCTCAATATTTGATTTGGAACTGAATTTGAGGCCCAAGCAAAATTTAATCTTAATTTTATGATGAGATTCAAAGTTTGATGGAGTCTGACAACAATCCTGCTGAAGGGAGTGTGGGTTGGCTACTCTTTTCTGAGGAGATG